TGATAACCGTGATAACAGTGAAATCGGTGAAAATGGTGATCACGATTTTCCTGGTGATCATTGGTGACGTTAGTTGGTACAGTCATTTAGTTGCGCAAATGGATTATCACTAACAATGGCTTAAATCGTTCACTACGAGACAAGTTGCATATTATAGCATAGATTGCTCCTGTGCTATATTGAAAGTTTTCAAAGGGCTGAAACCAGTCTATGTTAAGCATTATTCCAATATGAATATCCACTAAGTTTGGCTGAAAAAGATTGAATCATTTTTATTTTTAAAAGATTTTCATATTCTCTCATCATATATATCAGCAAGAATCTCTAGTTCAGAAGAACGATTAATCCACTTTTTATAAGATTCTTCAAATCCTTTTCTTTTAAATAGGAGATTCAACTGGTATTTTAAGCTGATAATAAGAAATATTGAACTTGAACTTTTTGATTATTCCATTCTTTGTACTAACACATTTGTATAAAATTCTTTTACAGGCATTTCGTTTATTATTTATTAGATCAGGAATTTTTGGAATATATACTTAGTGATTTTAGGCGTAATTTTAGAACTATCACTAGACACATCAGCAATATTATATAACTTACAACAGTTTTTACAGTTTACATAGTTAATTAGATGGGTACAAATATCAAGATTCTTTTACATTATATATAGAGAAGTGGGAAAAGCAGAGAATAATTTTTTGTTTATATTTATAAAAACATAATGAAAAAACTTAAAGAGAGAATTTGTGGTCATATTAGATAGTCGAAACCTCTTCTGGTACTTCAAAATCCATATTACAATCTATGAAAAGGCATCATCAAAGTTTTCTTTAGCGTACTTAAAATCATTTTTTTCTGATTTGGTTTTTGGTACATCAAAATTCAATTGAAAATCTTCGTCTAAATCGTCTGAGGAGTTTTCTAAAGCATCATCTTCAAAGGTTCTTTTATTATTTTCTTCAAATATATCGTCACTATCATCATTATTACCATCAAAAAACAGTTTGCCTACTACTTCCAGAATTGAGATTTCAGACTTTCTTTTTTTCTGAGGGGTAACTGACATTCTTCTAACTAAAAATGAATAGTTTTTTTCATATGATTTTTGTGGTTCTTCATCATTAATATCTATAAGATCTTCTAAAGGAGATAATGAAATAACAGATAGAGATAGATTAGTCGATTCTTTAATTTCCCTTTGAGATACAATAGGTGTAATACTTTTTTTAGAATAGGCTGATTTAATTCTAAGGTCTATTAATTTTCTATTACAAGCTTGACAATAACATAGTACATGTTTTCAGGTTTAAGAAGAAAGAACATACGAAGAAGTTTTGTTACTTTTATTTAAAGACATTGTTAATTACATCAATTTGAAAATAATTGAAAATTTTAAAAATAAAATTGTAAGTTTTTTATATTGTATTTTTACTTAACATAACTAATTTAATATACTAATAGTTTAATATATAACTTTTTACTAAATATAGATCTAATCACAAAGTCTATTTAATGTATAAATAGTTAAACATGACACAACTTTAAGTTGAATAAATTTCTTCTCAGAGACAAAGAAAAATAATTAAGAAAAAATATTATATTATAGCAACTTTTTTTTACTAAGTGTCTAATATACAAACTTCTAAATATGGGTTATTATATTAGTTATATCTGATTTGTTGAAAAAAAAACACTTATATATTAACGATTTTATTGGTTTACAAAATTATAAAATCTATTGAATAAGAAAATTCAAGAGAAATGTCATTATATAATAGGGAAGAGTCGCTATACAGAGAAGATTTATATGGAAGTAAAAGGTATTTACGTGTAAAAGGTAGAAGTTGAACTTTACGTATTCTTATATTATCAGAAAGAAGAGGCAGAGAACGAAGTCGTACTTCTAATTCGTTAGAAAGAAGAGGCAGAGACTGAGAAAGAAAAAGAAAAGAAAAAAGTGTTAGTGAGGATTATAAAAATATTAGAGGGAAAAAAAGAAGCAAAAGAAGTGAAAGTAGAGAAATTAGAAATCAGGAAGGTAATAAATTTTTATGGTAAGAAATATTGAATATTAATAAAAAGATTTATTACAATTTGTTATTTTAATAAGAAATCGCAGAGTTACGTTCAACTATCTTAGAATTAATTGAGAACTAAGAGAATTTCATCATGAAAATAAGAGTTGAACAAAAATATCTTCATTGTCTTCTGACTCTTCAGCTAACAGGAATTTTAAAGAAACCCAGAATAATTTGGAACCTATGAATAACAATTATAAAAAGGCTTTTCATATTAGTATGAGTACTTGATTGATTGTTGTTTTTTAATAGTTAGTTTATGATTGTGTAAATATGTTTAATTGAACTAATACTTTTTATCTATTATAGGATAATGTCGTCCAAATTTTAAAGGGTTTGGATGACTCTTTAAGGTTAGATCATGAAAAATGCTGAACTGAAATCAAAGTGTATATTATTCAAAATACAATACTAACTATAAAGAGGGTACTTAAAGATAGATTCCAATATACTGACGTAGAAATGAAGAAGGTTCTATAGAACTTTTATCGCTATAGAAGAAATGCGCATACTGTTTCATTAAATCCTTTAAAGTTCAAGACAAACAAGCAAAGAGTTAGTGCAAATAGTAGACGAAAAGATGTAAATATTATATGGTTTAAGAATAACTTTATATAGAATCAATGTTCTACATTCATTTCAAAATTTTATTTTGTTTAATGGAGGTCTTTTTATTACTTCTGAAAACTCATTGATTACATTAATATTTATTATTATATTTTATTACAAGAAAAAGTATCGGCGAAAAAGAGGACTATAACATATGCTAGATACTAATGATCAAATGCTAATGGACTTATAACCTTTGATGGAATGGAACAATTGGATTAAGGATCTGAAAAAAGTCATTGATGATTCTAGTTACCACTCAGATGAACTTTTTAAATTAGATGATGAAAAAGGTAACGCATTTTTATCGCATATAATTATTAATACTCTATTGATTAAGTATTAATCACTTTCTTTTTTAGCATAAGAAGAGAAAGATAAGAAGATTCGTCTATCCAGAAATAAAATTTGAATCATGTTATTCATGTATACAATAAGAGATGAAGATCACAAAGGGTAAGATACTGATTTTAGCATTTAATAATTATAGATAGTATGTAATATTATAAATTTATAAATGACAATTATTGAATACGATCTAAATTTTTTTATTAAGTTTGACGATTCTTACAGTATGCAGATTCCATAGGAGAAACTACCCAAAATATTAAAGTTGCAAGGAAAGGTAATATGATGATAATACATACATAGACAACTCCAAGCCGCCTTTCGATGCTTCGAAATAGACCATTTTGTCTTCATACTGATCTGAATAAAACTGTGTTTATTTACTAATAATTGTAATTTATTTTCATTTATAATTAATTGTTTATTTTTTATATATGTAGAACGTTGTGTTTAATTAATAGTATTTAACAATATAATTATCAATAGCATATCATTTATTAATAGTATATTACAACAATAGATATAGTAATAAAACAATAAATTATATAATATTTTATTTTATTTTAAAATGTTATTTATTACATAATATTAAATAAAGTCAGCATATTATATGAAATTAATTATCTATATTGATATATAAATTAAACATAAGGCTTTATATAAAAATGATATATATCTGATTTATCAAAAAATTATATACACATCAGGTTATATAAGGATACCCAATGTTCCTTCTAATATTTGTCCTAAATTTATATGATACTTATCTGAATTATTTTAACCTGAAAGTCCCATGAATTATTTTTGATTATCACCAAAAACTGGTTAGAAATCATGCAGGGTTATCAGATTTCTTTCAAACTGGATTCGATTAAAAAAAAGAGGACTATCAGGTGACTAATGATCACCTGATAGCCCTTCACTCGACTTGTGATTTTCATGTGAAATATAATTTCAAGAAGATTTTTTATATATGCAGAAATTTGTTTTATTGGCTCCTTAGTTTTTTGATGTTATTATAAAATCCAACTAGAAATAAAAATCTTTTAACTGAATAAAAATAATTGTAAGTATATAAATTTATTTTAAAATTTAGATTATAGTAATGCGAAGATAATAATATATGTAGAATTTTTCTATAAAGTAGTAATTTATAATGATAAATAAAAAAGGCGAAAGTAATAATGGTAGTAAAGGTGATAAAGGTAATAGTAGTGATAAAGAAGGTAGAGGTAATAATAATGATAAAAAAGAAAAAAATAATAATAGTGGTAAAGAAGATAAAGGTAATGATAATAATAAAATAGTTGAAAGTAATTATAAATAATAATAAAAAAAAGAAAGTTATTGATAATAAAATAAAATAAATTGCAAATTATCCTTTACATTTCAGATTTAATTTTATTTCTATTTGTTTTGTCAAATCATCTACTATATTTGTTTGATCTTCAATATTTTCATTATAGTATCTATTTAAAATAAAAAAAAATAAAAATAAATAATCCTTTCACTTTATAATTTAAATATCGATATAAAAATACTTTGATTATTAATTTTTGGTATAGTCCATAATTTTTAGGAATTTGTATGCATTAAAACAATAGGATTGGATTTGATAATTATCTGGTCTTTAACAATTTTTTGTATTTTATTAGGTGAAAATTTGGTTACTTCACCAAAATTGATAAAGATCATGCATAAATATATTCAGCCTCTTTACTATCATATTTTCAAGTGAATTCATTCTAATTTCAAATTTCTGTAATTGTTCTTATCTTATTTTTTGTCTTTCTATTGAATTTACAAAAATTTTATTATTAAAATCAGAATTTTACAAATTACAAATATTATTTATTACCTTATTCTCAATTAAGTTGAAGATTTGATATATGAGTAACAGATAGATCTTTGATTACTATTTCAATATCTTTACTAAAAACAATTTTATAACATGTCATTTGATAGTATAAATAATCTTCAATAGATAAACTTTAATTATAAATCTTTATTATAACAAAAGAAAAGGTAATAAAGTATTTTTATTTGTGCATGATGAGAGTCTATTTTAGTTTTTGCTTCACCTGCCTCTAAAAAAATCTATTTACTAATATAAATATCAAATTATTCTTTCCAGTATAATAATATAATCATCAATTCTATATTGTGATAATGATTACCATTATCAGATATAATTGTTATACGTTTAGGTTTTTTATCTAATATATATATCACTCTGTGCAAAAAAATGCTATGAACCAAACATCTTATTTCATATTTCTACTCTAGTGATCAAAAGCATTAGTATTAATATTACTAGTATCTTGATTTTTAATATGTACTAAAATAGAATGTAGAGTTTACTCACATTTTTCAAACTATTCATCTTTTATTTCTTTTGCTTTTTTAGAATTGATATGCATTTTATAATCTATGCCTCATCAGAATTAAGTTTTACAAGATTTACAGGTAATTGTGCATTTAAATAAATTTTACAAGCATAATATAACATAAATGCAATCAATTTTTTTTGATATTTATTAAAATCTTTATGCTTATCTAATAGTAAATATTTTTTAAATTTTTCAAAAAAATAAATAGGTTTTCACAATTAGTGCAATTATTAAAATTTACTTTTTGGCAACTATCAAAAGTATATTGAAGATAATAATATACACAAATTATATTTAATAGTTTCATCTTGTATTATATTTAATTGTTTTAGATAATCTCTTATAAGATAGCATCGTAATTTTTGAGTAATTCATTTTATATAAAGAATTAAAAATTAGTTAGTATAAAAATAAATCAATATATCAATATCAAGAAATTATAAATAAATAAATTTTACCCAAAATACTAAATCTGTAATATTGATATTTATCAATTCTTCAATATTTGAAAATACTTAATATTCACATTCATTATATTCTAAATAAAGTTTACCTAAATCTTCTTTATAAATAAAGTATTTACCATCTAATCACATTATAAAAGATGTTTTTTGTATTCTATTAGGATATTTTTCATGAAATTGTTTTCATAATGCTTATTTATAATCTTGTAAATATAATATAGGTAATTCACTTTCTTTATCAGTTTTATAAGAACTCATATTCATATGTTCTTTTATAAAAAAAAAATAATTTAAATTGTTGCAATTATTCAACAGTAAATTTTACTTTACGAAAAATTAGTTTATCAAATAATAGTGCTTTATAATCATTTATTCATATATCTTTATGTGATTCTAATATAGTATATCATCCAACTTTTTATAGAAAAATCTATTAGTATATTCTTTATATTTTCAATAAATTATTGA